GACTGGTCAGACCAGTCGCTAACTTTAGAGTTTCATCGTACGCATGCATAATGAATGAAATAGAAAGGTTGCTTAGCTACCGTTGTCTGCCGTTTGTCTTTGTATCCAATATGGCAACGACCTTTCTTGCTATCTGTACCACCAGACGGCAATGTAGACTACGAGGTTTTTATGATAGGCAGAATCTATTAGAATATACACGCGATGATGCAATTTACGAGAGGTTGCGCCTAGCTGTGACAAAAAGAGCGGCAAAAATGTGGTAGAGATCCTTTACGACGACCTCAAAGCAGACGTTCTTATGCATTTCCAGCTGCCGGAAATTGGAGAGTTAGAGCTTTCGCGACACTTTTATGCAAGAGTTCCACTTCCAGTAAACTGTTTCGAGACTACGGTGAGTAACGAGAGAACTAACGACCGAACTTTACGACTGAACTTAGCGATGAGTTAACGACTGCTTCGTGAAACACCCCTAAAGTTTTCTCGTTAGTGAGATAGTTCAGTAGTTAGTTATTCTAACTAACTACTGCTTCGTGAAACGGGCCCCTGCTTCTTTGCCAAACAAAGCCACTCAGTAAATTTATAAGAAAAACAAAAATACGGTTTTGAAGTTAAGAGGCAAACATCACCAAAATGTGCAAAAAACAGAATAACTACCATACATGTAAACAGATTGTGCTAATTTTCAAAAGCAATCTGCTTCTTTACCAAACAAAGCCACTCAGTAAATTTAAAGTAAAACAAAAGTACGGTTTGGCAGTTATGGGGCGAACGTCATGTGTTGGACAGCAACAGTGACAATGCGGACAGACAGACCAATCAGAATATATACAGACACTTACAGTGTCTGAATATAAAAATGCATCATCTATAACAGGGATAACACTAATGGATGCAGGTGTTTTTAACAAAGTACCTCTCCCCTGCGATACACATTAGGTGTGTTCCTGTACTGAGACACAGCAGCAATGAAAGTTTCTCTGTTTTTCTCTTTAGGTTTCTGGAACAGCTCCTCTTGTAACTGTGTTATGTGGCTGTCATCAGTTGCTTCTGTAAGGTCTGCAACCACACCTTGTAGGAAACTGCCTTTCGTTTTAACCCCCTTTTCTTCTTCAACTTTCCTTTTTGGTTTAGTACAAAACAAATATCTCTTGGTCAGAATCATTCTGGAGCATCTCGAATTGGCTGATGAGTGGTGACATCTGTTGGGTAGAGTGATAACATTGGCTTGTATTATCAGATGTGTTAGGTGTGACAGTTTGGTATCCAATGAGTTAGTTACCTCAAAGTGTCGCCCTCCCATCCTTGGGGCACTTAATAAAACATGTTTAAAATCATACACATTGCTTGCTGTGTCTCTAGGGTTGATTGTCCAGTGATGACACTTTGGAGAAGTAACAATAAGGTTCTTTTTCCATGTATCTGAGTCACTTGACACTGGGCACAAACTGCATTGACCATGCTCTGATCCATGATGGTGTCTGTGCAGATATCTGCCTGTGACAACACCTACTAGCCTTCCAGCACTCTTTAAAGGACATCCTAAATGACACTGGGAGCCAAGAATTACTCTTCTTGTGAGATATGCCTGGGATGCAGTCATCATTTTCCACTTATTCACTGAACTGCATTATCTGAAAAAGTCAATGTAGTCATTACAATTTAACATATTAAATGGAAGTAACTTTCTGCTGCCTGGTGGACTGGGAAAGATTATTTTGAAAATAATGTTTTAATGGTTTTTACTGCCTCATATGGATGACGACCAAGTGTTGAATACATGCCATTATGCTTTCATGTGCGATTCATGCAGGTATGCTTTATCAGTTGTCCATAATAATAAACATATCTCTGTATTAAAAAGATACTGACATTCTATGAAAACATTTTTTTGCTACCTACAATGAAAACATTTGTATATATAGAAAAGAGAGCAGTAATAGTAGCAAAGGGAACACTAGGGCTGAATTACCTCTTCAACAGGTAAAATGGCTATGATATGTTTTCCAGAGATCAACTACAAACTGATTGATCTCTGCATTTAGTTCTCTGTATATATATATATATATATATATATATATATATATATATATATATATATATATAACCCCAAATGTTATAAGGACCGATTTTGTTGAAATTTTCAGGGTACGTCAGAAATTAGGTTAACTTAGAAGGGATCAGTTTTTGGTGGTGATCCGAATCAATAATCAATCAATAATAATCAAAAATTGCTGCCATGGCGGAGGTATGCGCTCTCGGAGAGTTTTTCTGGTTAAATTATGGTAGACTAGACTAGCAGATTAAGCCTGATACATGCCTGTGGAAAATCTGTGCAAGATCTACTAAACTGCCAGCTGTAACGGTTTATAATGCAAACACAACCGAAAGTTTCCACTGCTGAAAGTTGTAAACATAAAAAGTGTGATATCTAAACTACTAGTAACCAGTGTTTGCCGACTTAGGAAAATAAGTTGCTGGACCGAAAGTCCAACCATCTTGAAAAGTAGCTGGACTGAATGTCTGCCAGGTGGGAAAACTTCTCAGCCCGTTCTGAAAGTTGTCACCCCGGGCAGACGGTCCAGCCTTAATTTCTAACACTGCTAGTAACGATGCATACTCACGGCGGCAGATCTTTAACACAGGAAGTGTGGCAGTCTCGCTTTGGGCTGACCCAATCGCAGTGTGGCGGGAGCTCGAACCACAACTATGATTGACCCAAATTAGCATCTTAGGTAAGTCATATTTGGTAATGAGCAACAACACAAAATTAAGGAATCGGCTGCTAGCTTTCTAAGGAGATTATTTATCTCCAATTAGGTCTAATAGCAGATCCTACGTCAGAAGGCGACGATAGCTCTACTAGTAGCTGATGTGTTGTACGTTTATATTATATCGATCTGCAGTTAATAGGGGGTGGTACTTAAAGGCGGAAAGACAAGGAAAGACGCGGAAAGACAAGGAAAGACAGGTTAATGGAAGTAATAATAAGATATTGAAAGTCATATATGCCTAATCTGATACCAAAAGCGCTTGAAATGTCCTTAAATAAGAAATCCAGTCACTTTGCAGTGGTTTTAATACACAAATATTCCAATACGAAACTTCGTCCGCCATCTTGGATTTCCGTAGCCGGATCTAGCGTCCTGTCTTGTGAAGCGCCACCTATCTTAGTGATTCTAGCAGACAACATACAAACTGCAGACAGCTAAAATATTTGCAAATTAAAACATTGGAGGAGTTTTATGTCTAGAACTGCTTTGAAATCTGGGTGATTGGATACAATACTCCTTGTTTTTTAGATATAATTATGAATGATATAAGGCCCTAGCAGACAACAGTAAAATAGCAATTTACTAGCTTAAATTTATTTTAAAATATTGTATAAACCCAAATAGTTTTTAAAACGTGAGAAGTGTATTAAATTATAAACCTGTTTGAAACTAATGGTGTGAATAACGGGTTCTTATACACATTTTAACCAAGATTTTGTTCCTTTATAAAACATGATGACAGGTAATTATTCAATTATGATTAAGCGAATAGCAAAAACGGTTAGTTGTGTAGCAGGTGTGATGTCTACACAGTGGTATTTAGATCAAGACACATAGATTTCAAAATGAAGAGGGGAAGAAGGGGATTACATATCAGCTTGTTGCGTCTTAATTTATAGCTGTAAGTTTTCGGGTCATATTGTGAAATGTGTAAAATAAAATAAAAGAGTGATCTTTACAGGCTAGAAGAGATATGAAAAAATCTCAGGTAAGTGTTTCTTTGACTCTGAGGCCTGAACTTGAGATTGCCAGATAACAATTGGTGTTAATAACCAGTTTTTGATTTTTGCTAGTTGATAGAGATAAAGATAATTTGTGACAGGTGAGTAGTTGATGTCAGTGACAGGTAAGCCAGACTTAAGATTGTGGCTTAACCATTGTTCTTATGAATATAAATTGACTTCGACCAAGTGTGTTAAAATTACTCTTTCATTTAACAGGAATTTTTATGAAGATAATTAAGTGCTCAATTGTCTTGGTTAATATTATTCTTGCTTCTTGATAGTTTGTGAAGTTAATATTTAATAATAGATCTGCACCTTGTTTAAATGATGCTTTTCCATCAAATCTGATTCTGTCTATTAAATTATGTTAGCTAGACAGTGAGATGAAGAGAAATATTTGCTATCAGATCTCTACCAGATCAGGTCTTATGATATTTGTATCTTTATTACCCTTTTTATTGAATATATCCATTGTAACAGGCTTTACTTAAATGCATTTAAGGAAAGTATTTTTCACAAAGTATGGTAGTTACGCATACAAGACATATACATGTTCGATATATTTATTAGTAAATGTAAAACAATATATATATATATATATATATATATATATATATATATATATAGTTTTTTTTTTCTTTTTTTTTTTTTTTGTGAAGCAGGTGTGATGTCTACACAGTGGTATTTAGATCAAGACACATAGATCTAAATGAAGAGGGGGAGAAGGGGATTACATATCAGCTTGTTGCGTCTTAAGTTATAGCTGTAAGTTTTTGGGTCATATTGTGAAAAGTGTAAAATAAAATAAAAAAGTGATCTTTACAGGCTAAAAGAGATATGAAAAAATCTCAGGTAAGTGTTTCTTTGATTCTGAGGCCTGAACTTGAGATTGCCAGTTAACCATTGGTGTTAATAACCAGTTTTTGATTTTTGCTAGTTGATAGAGATAAAGATAATTTGTGACAGGTGAGTAGTTGATGTCAGTAACAGGTAAGCCAGACTTAAGATTGTGGCTTAACCATTGTTCTTATGAACAAGTGACATTTTTGGAAGATATTGTGATAATGCTTAAAGGTAAGTACTCATCTTTCAAATTAATTGCCCCTCAATTTGACCATGACCAATCAAAGAGTACCTGACTGTCGGGCTGTATTTAAAGTCCACCTACAGTGCAGGTTTTAGTTCAGTTTCCTTGTGGAGCCCTGTGTATACAGTTCCAAGATCCATGTCAAACCAACTATAACATGAAACCTAAGAAGATTCGTTACCCATGCAGTGTCTGCTCCACAGCTTGCAGTTATGACGTCATTGAGTGTTCTTCTTGCAAAAAATGGACACACAGGTAAGCAAAATTGATGATATGAATAGCAAAGTCATACTCTATGCCAAAAATGTTTACCAATTCATTTTTTATCGTTATTATTTGAACTTTAATCAAGAGTGTTATGTTGCTTCCTTTGTTAATTTATTTCTTAGTAATCTAGCTCAACAAATAATGGGTATGTTTTAGTGTAGTTTTGCTGATTGGGATCACTGTCTGCAGCAAAAATTAAATATTTTCTAAATTGAATTTCCTTCAATTTGGTAGTGTTATGAGCTATATAGGTTTAAAAAAAATAGTAGCCGAGTAGAATTTTGATATACACTCAGTGTATATTATCTAGTCACTGTCTCTTCCCCTGTCATAGCTGTTCAACACGTACAGATGTATGCTGTTTATCCTGTAATTTTTTGGTTTATTTTTGCTTTTTGATTGATAAAGAGGTAGGATTCAGGAAATATTGTAATTTAATTTATTTCAGTCATTTAGTTTATTTAAACAAATTATCTAATCATTTTGAAAGGGCACTTAACAAGGGCAACAAGTAGAGACAGGTGAGCCATAACACCAATCTCCTTTTCCAAGATCATCCTAAAGTTGAAATGAATTTACCTGAAATACATATTCCAATAGCTGTTATTTAAATGCCATCATTTTACTGGAATTTTCATGATGATATGGATGTAAAATTTAACTAGCTTCAAAATCATAGTACAATTTGAGATGATTAAAACAGAGGCAACCTTATGCTAAACCTTAAATAGTCAGGTGACTGATAATGAAATGTGATGATGGGAGGGCATGGTCATTTTCAATAATTATATACATGAAATTAGTAAAATGGAATGTCCAGTTAATCATTTGATAACATACAAGGTATAACCAATAGAGATTTGTTCTTTTATCTGACAATTACATCATAAGCCAGTCCCTACAGATTTTTTGATTATTTTATTCTCATAAATCATATACTATGACTAGTTTATTCTCATAAACTGGTAACAGTGTAGAGATAATTCACAAATATAACCTGGAGAAGAGACTCTCTTTATGATGATTTTATTGAATTCTGCAAAAAGCTGTCATTTTTTTTTTCATTAAATAAGTGATATAATTTCATAACATTGGCATGCTGACAATGATATTAAGCTAAATGCATGTTTCTATAATATCTAATAATATTAGCAGTACAGTATTGAAAATAGAATGGAATTCATCTCTAATCTCATTTTTCTGGCATAGGGTACAGATTCTTTGTTCTCTTACTTTATTATTCCATTCCTACTTCAATAGATACTTTGGTGTTACATGTTACATGAAAAAATGATTATTTATAAGATAATTTTTACAGGTACTTTTCTATAGTTAAATGATGTTTGTAATTCCTAAGGCTATATTTATTAAGTTCTTTTGCTGAACAAAAATTTTCACTTCTCCATTTTCATACAAACTGGACCTTGAGAGTATGAAAAACAATATTTTTTAAACACTATATACTTTTATTATATATTTTTGTATAATTCCTAAATAGCCTTTTTATTTAAATATACTTTCATCGGAAATTTTTTCTCAAAAATATACTATGATGCATTATAATTAGAAACAATATAACACAATGTATGTAATTAATTAAGTACAATGCAGAAGTTTTGCCCAAAAAGTAACCATTCTGATTTAAACGTTAACCTTGAGTGAGTATCAACCAAGTTCATCATATACCTTGATATTAAGAGTTGACCATTATAACTTGAATAAATAGTTGCACAAAAAAATGAGTTGCTAATTACAATGGCTCTATATTTTAAATTCATAAAAAAAACAATTGGTTTAATTGCCTTGTTGAAATTATCTAGTTTGCAGTCCACTGATTATTTGTGGTCTCCATATTTAGCAGTGCATCATGGCTATTTGCTTTAATACCCATTTCCTACAATTTCTCAATATTTTAGTTGTCCAATCTGGTTCTAGAAAATAATTCTTAGGTATTTAAAGTTAGATACAATTTCTATACTTTTTCTTGGAAGTAAAACAAAGTAAAAAAGTAATTTTTTTTTTGGTTGTCTCCCTTCCCCAAATATCATAATAATAGATTTTAAGAAAATGGCAATTTTGTGACAATAATTATTAAAAATCAGAAATATATTCACTAATTAATCTGCAATATGTTTTCTGTTTTCCTGATGTTTTTAAAACCTTTCGCATTGTGTGTGACTATAAAAATCTACTAAATTTTTAAAATGTAGAGAAAATGATAACAGCTATATATTTAATATGAGGAGAGTAGTTGAAATATATATGTACAGGCATCAAATCATTATGGGCAGATTTGTGTCTTTGGATTAATAGACATTTGATTAAGAAGTTTCACTGAATTTGTAAAGCCCCCTTTACACTGGGCGGCATTTTTACTGTGTCTCGTAGTCCTGTTAAAGAGATTTAAAAAACATACTGACAACTGACCAATCATTGGGCATTTATTCTGCAACCATAGCGATGCTTGCATCTCCTTTTTAGAACCATGGAGTTGTCAGTTTCATGGTCTCAACAAGGCAGCAAAGCTGTCAAATGTACAGACAAAAAGCAGAAAATAACAAAGCACAAAATAGGCTACTGCCAGTTCTGATGCAAAAATACATTATGCTTAATTGCAAATTCAACATTAAATTATAATGTAAGTAAAATATGTATCAAGCATAAGGCTTAAGGTCAATGAGAGTTCAAGTTCGCTTTGAAAATGCCAGAATGAGAAAAATGAGAATGTCACATGAGATGTTTTTTGAAAATTTTGCATATTAAAAAAATCAAGTAGGCATCGTGGAAGGACGTTTTGTCCACTGCTAAATAACAGGTAAAACAAAGCTTAATAAATTATAATGATATATATATCAAGATTGATTTAAAAATTATACCCAACATCACCAAAAACATTAAGTGGTGATGATAATATTTTATTTTCAAGCATTACTAATAAGCATATGCCATCATAATTACTAGGAAGACTTGGAAATGTATGTACTTTCGCATACCTACTGTATCAGGCCTGAAAACATGTAACCAGAATGTCTGTTTCACTTTATGTTCACTTACAAGTGTCATTTACTCAACCTCTAGGGCATGTGGAAAGATGTACCTGCTTCGCTGATCAATTCAAGGAAGCAACAATTTTGTGATCTAGTCAATCTCTCAATGATCATAGATCATCAAAAAGTTATCTGGATGGTTGCAAATTAAGTTTTAACTTAATTACTCCATGTTATGTAACTGTCTGATCAAAGAAGTTACCTGGATAAGTAATTCCTTGATTGCAATCAATACAGTTACCTGACATTCCAATTAACTAATCACTGCCAGATAATATCAATACTGAACTTGACATTTTCTGATCAAAGAAGTTACCTGGAAAAGTCATTCCTTTATTGCAATCAATACAGTTACCTGACATTCTGATATTATCATACTTTTCCTTGATCAAGTTTTATCATTAAATACTTACACATTTGATAAGGTGGCTTCTTCTGTGATCTTATTTTAAAGTATTACATCAAAATGACATTTTTCAGCAAATGTCTAAATTTTATGCAATCCTACATTACAATTATATCAAAATCATTGAAAGAAAGTGCTATTAAATAAAAAGACAGCAATAATTTTTAGAGCCACTTTTTTATGTACAGACATTTTGTCTTTGACTTAATAAAAATAGGTATAGTTTTGAAAATCAGCTTGATCAGACCATTTCCAAAAGTTTTGCCATTTTTTTTTTTTTTTTTTTTTTTGCTCTTTTTAGCATATTTTATCCACCATTATTAAAAAAACTGTCATATTTTGCTTTAAAACTTGCAGGACTGATTTATAGGAATAATGTACGATCAAGTTCAAAAATTACCTTGATCAGTTAAGTTTAGATGAAGTTATGTCTTATTTTGCATATAAGTGGTTTCTCCTTAGATTCACTTCTTGGCATGTTAACTGTCCCATTATTGAACTAATTAGCTTATGCATCTTAACGATTTAGTTACTTTATTATATAAACATGTTGTTAAATCTTTTATCATATATAGTATTATGCAATCAAATAACTTTATGGATATGAACTCTCTCTGGAAGCTTTATTTCATCAGTTTCTCATATATTTTGCCTTTCTAAAAATAGTCAAGAAAAAGATTTTTATGAACACTGAACTTTGAAATCTGCATGGCAAAATCATTTAAAGTTTTTTTGCTGTGCTTGCAATAAGTATTTTCACAACCATACTTTGAAATTTGCAATCACAAACTTAAACTCAAAGTGACAAATGCCATTTGTTGTTTGTGAGGCCCTGTAGAAGCCATCTCAGCAAAACTGTAAGCAGTATGGACACAAAAATTGTCTTGAAAAAATGGTATTTTTGACAGTTTGCATTGTATTATTTCATAAGTTCAAATGTATTAAGTATATGTTAGTTTAAATTATATGAAATTAGGGGCTGTCACCTAGTGTGCAGCACTTACATCTGAGAAAATGACCCATGCACAGACAAATGCAAGGGGCACATAAGGTTTACGTTGTATGCGTTTCTAGTTTGCAGACAAATGTTTATGTATGTTCAAATGCTAAAAGGAAAATTTAAGAAACAATTCCACACACAAATCAATTTTTTTTACATGCGGAAAATGGTGATTTTATTCGCTCAAAGTTGTGCATACAATACCTCTCATGTACAATACTTGCATCCATTTACACTTGGTGTGACAGAGGCTTTTTTATTTTGTTATTGTTTATAACATAAATGATTGTTGTTATGCTAAATTGTTATTCACTGGTATGGCTTTAGAGATATTTGAGATATTTCTTTAAAAATGTTTCCTTTTTTTCTATACTTTTCTATACTTAAATTCCTCTTTTCTCCCTATTCAAAAAATATTCTATTTTCGAAGGCCAGTTGTGTGTACAACTTAATTCCCTTGGTATTACTAGTAAACAGTTTTTATGATGAACAATGATTGACATTTCATAAATAATGAAATTTATCTCCCATTTCCATTATATCTTTAGATATTTCTCCAAGTCATATTGAATCTATATTGTGGCTTTTGATCTGGTTTTAAAGCAATTATTTTTACTTTAAATTCATCTTTACATAAGTAGAATAAATAGATAAAAATACTAGTTACATGTCACTTTAAATTCTCATTTTTTTTTCCAGGCAGTGTGTTCCTATGTCAGAATCTCTTTTTGAAGAATGGAGCTCAGAAGAACTGGATTTTATATGTGGCAAATGTGCATTCAGAGGGAATATGTACAATTTTGAAGCTGCCCTTACTCGCCTTGATTCTACACGAACACCTGAGAAAGCTAAGTCAGAACATCATCTTTTGAAGACCTACGGCATCTGTATCCCTGATATTCCCAATGTGCTCATACAACATCCTGAAGACGCTGTATCAAGGAAAATATTGGAAATGTTTCAACCCATTCTTCTAAAGACTCATTCACCTTTAGCAGTTGGGACAGATGGAAATTGTTTATAAAGAGCTGTCTCACTCGGCCTCTTTGATTGTGAAGACTACCATTTACACATTCGTCTGCTGGCAGGAATTGAAATGCTGATGTACAGGGAAGCGTATGATTGCAACCATGCTGAATATTGCGGACAATTGGGACAGGACACTGCTTTCATTGATCTCTACAATAATGAAGTTGTAGCTGTCTGTACACCAGGAAGATGGGCAGGATTAAGTCATATGTATGCCATCAGTGCTGCTCTGAAGGTGCCTCTACGATCGTACTGCCCACCTGTGCTAAATGATAACTTCCTCTCCACCCCATTGTCTAGACGCATTGCAGGTCGTGGGGTATCCCAAAATGGTGCTCCAGCTACAGTGATTATGTGGACAAGCTCTGGAACACCTGAAACAGCACATGAATTCCGGCCAGATCACTTTGTTACACTAAGAAGTAAAATAAGATCCAGTCACACACCTCCCATAGTTTTGGTGGACTCTGATGAGAATGATACAACTCCCATAGGTTTGGTAGACACTGATGAGAATGATGCAACTCCCATAGGTTTGGTGGACATTGATGAGAATGACATTCTGTCACAGCCTGTTCCTTCCACTACCCACGATCCCAGTATTACTGATAATTCCTCTGCATCACCAAAAAACCACAGCTTTGAGACAGACGACCCGTCACTGGAGGTAGAACCTGAGCTTGTTGGTGCACCTATCAACAAGTATATGGAAGCAGGTGATATCATCGAACTTTTACAATCATTGCCAGAGACTCTGAATCACATTCCTGATGGGAGAAAAGAAAATGTTCGCTTTTTGGTTGACAACAAGGAAAATGAAGAAAGACGTAGTGAAGGGAAAAATAGTCAGTTCGTTGATGACTGTGGGGTGTGGCAAAATAGTAACTCCCCTGTAACACATATGGGTAGAAGAGATGGAAAATGGACAACAGTCCTGCTCAAAGATGGCCAGTACTACACGGAAAAACGCTCCAATGGCAAAAAGGTCCTTTGTCTTATGAAAGACCAACCAACAGAGGTTGTCAGACTGCAGCGAAATTATGCCACGCTAAAAAGAGACAGTACGTACAAGAGAAGGATTTCTTGGATTAAAGGAATTCCTGTGGCAATTGTGGAATACATCGGTAAACTGCCACCACCAGCTCCACATGGGGGGAATGCAGCCAAAGGGGCGCCTCCTTATCAAAGAACTGCAAAGCCGGTACTAGAAAAGATAAGGGAACAGGCAAAAGGAGGTAAAAAGCCGAAAGAGATTTACGAAGAGATGATAATAAGTAATGATAATGAAAGAGACAAACCAGCCGATCTTAGACAGGTTCAGAATACTGTTTATCAAACCAAGAAGAAGCAGGAAAGCAGAAATTCAACGGGAGCTGGGAACCTTGCAGCTAATTTCAACTTTTTGCATACCAACATGCACAGCCACCCTTTCATACAAAGCATAGTGCACTCCTCCCAAAAAGTGCCATCTATCACCCTATTCACAGACAAACAGATAGCAGACTTAAAAAGATTTTGTTTCTGTGGCCAGGAATCTGAATCCGCCATCCTTGGAGTAGATAAAACTTTTAATTTAGGTCAGTTACATGTGACAGCAACTTCTTTTAAGAACATTTCTTTGAGGAGAACAAGCACTAATGAGCATCCCATCTTCTTAGGACCCATTCTCATTCATGGCAATTCTGACTGGCAGACATACGCCCAGTTTTTCTCAACAATAGCAATGCAAGTGGACAAAACAACACAGGGGCCAATTATAGGAATGGATGATGAGAAAGCATTGAAAAAGGCAGTGGAATTTGCTTTCAGTAATGCAAATATCATTAGTTGCCAACGACATCTGAAGGCCAATGTAAGCAAGAATCTGCAAGATATTGTTGGTGCCCCGTTGCATGCTAGAAAAGAAATCAGTAGCATTTTATTTGGAGAAAATGGGTTGTCTGCAGCCGACAGTGTGGTCATGTTTGACATCCGCAATGAATACGTAATAGAGCAAATCAGGAAAACAGTGCCTACATTTGAAGGTTATTACAACCAAAGGATCAATCCACTGATAAGACAAAATGTCCAAACAATCATTGACAGGCCGGAAGTGCACTCAGGATGGACTAATAATAATGCTGAATCAGTAAATCACATGCTTAAAATGAAGGTCCAGTGGAGTTTACAAGACATCCCAACCCTGATCAATTCTCTTCATCAGTTAGTCCAAGCTCAATATGTAGATGTTGAAAGAGCATTGATTGGGAGAGGACAGTTCAAGCTTGATGCCAAATTTGCCAATTATGCTGTAGAACGATCCATTTGGAATGACAAGACAGCAGATTCCAGGACCAGACACATTATGAAATTCTTGAGAGAACCAAAGTTCCACAAACATATGGCTTCTTATGATGGCTTAAGTGTACTTACATCTGCAGCAAAAGGAAGGAAGCCTAGTCAGACAAAAAGGCGACGAGCAGCAAAAACTGTTTCATTCAAGCAATAATAAGATAGCACAAACTTTGTTGAAGTGCAGAAGCATGCTGAATATATTTTTTCGCCATAGTGTGTAGCAATAATTAGAAGTAGTATTTTGTCAGTGTTGAAATTATGCATCAGATTTAATTTGGTAATGAGGCTAGTTGGTACAAATGCCACTTTGTATTTATTGTTTGAACGTACATTTACTCATTTTAGAGCAATGTTTTCCTGAGTCATGCTGAGTATATATTTTTTCACTGTGGCCTTATAACTATTAGTGTGTAGCAATATCTAGTAGTAGCATTTTGTGAATCTTCTCAGTGTTGAGATGAATTTGAAATACAGGTATGCATCAGATTTAATTTGGTAATGAGGCAAGTTGGTACAGATGCCACTTTGTATTTATTGTCTGAACATACATTTATTCCTTTTTTGAGCAATGTTTTCATGAGACATATTTTTTTCATATTTTTTCACCATGGCCTATTAATCAGTAGCATTTCATTAGTCTTGTGAGTTCTGAGATGAAAGTGCTATTTCAAAATTAAAGATTACATCATGCTAATTTATTATAATTGCCATTTCATTCACATAACATTTGAGTTGCAATTCATTTGTATTTTTGGAAAACATGATTTAGTTATATTATAGAATATAGCATTTTAATTTAATACATGCAATTTAAAGTACCAATTTATTTAAGATTGTATTCTTTCATTGCGGGTGTGAACTCCATAGTTTTGGAATTTCTTTCATAATTGTTACTGGTGCGTCATTAGGAATACATTGGAACTCAATAAATTTTCTTAAAAACATGCTCAATATTTGGTGTATGAATGGATGAAAAATGTGCAATATTTGTTGTACAGATGCATGAAAAATCTAAGCTCTAGATGAATTTTTAAACAAGAAGAATATTACAGCTTTTGATGATCTACCTTTATCAGTTTGTATTGATACCAACCAGTATGATTTTTTTTTACTGAAAGTGATATTGGCTCTATACAAATAGAAAAATAAATTTAGAACTAATCCCCTTAAACTAACTGTGGGTGTTAAAATGAACTTGTTGATACTTATAAAAATATTGTCATTTACCAATGTTTTATGGTAATTTCCCCACAAAAATGAAAGGATACCTGTGCTTTGAATTAAAAAAAAAAAAAAAAAAAAAAAAATTGGCACTCAGTCTTTTAGTGATAAATTTTGTTTAGAAAAAGAGACGAAATCTTCAAAAGACAATTTTTTTTTTAGAAAACACCTAATACTTATGACATTTTGTTTTCAACTCTTGCTATTAAACCCAATTTATAAATTTTGTCCGTCATTTTAGAACCAAGGATAAAAGACAGGCCCGTAGCCAGGGGGGGGGGGGGGTTCGGGGGGTCAAAAGGTCCACCTTTTTGAAAAAGAGAACCACCCCTCTGAAAATGCTGGCTACGGGCTTGAAAGAGAATAAAATTTTTGTTAATTTATAAAAAGGGGAAAGAGAGTTGTTTTATTGCATTTTAAATACCAAGCACAATACCCCGGTAGATTTGCAATTTTTTTCAAAGAAACAACGACTATTTTTAAATTTTTTTAGCTCAGTTTTTCAGGGATATTCTTTCAAAACGTCTTCAAAATGACAAAACCTTTGCTAAATTTATATCATTTGTAATATTAATGAGGAGACATTTAAAATTTCATCCACTTACGTATATGAAGTTCTAGATATAAAACCCTTCAATCTTCTTAGTTTGCCAATATCTGTCTGCAGTATTGTCTGCAGTTTGTATGTTGTCTGCTAGAATCACTAAGATAGGTGGCGCTTCACAAGACAGGACACTAGATCCGGCTACGGAAATCCAAGATGGCGGACGAAGTTTCGTATTTGAATATTTGTGTATTTAAACCACTGCAAAGTGACTGGATTTCTTATTTAAGGGCATTTCAAGCACTTTTGGTATCATATTAGACATATATGACCCTCAATATCTTATCATTACTTCAATTAACCTGTCTTTCCTTGTCTTTTCGCGTCTTTCCTTGTCTTTCCGCCTTTAAGTATAACCGGTTAATAGGTTATCATAGAATCAAATATTCCTCTTTTCAACAAGTTACTTCCATTTTTATGTACAGACACAGAGTTATTGTGTTGGAAATCTAATCTGTGTTTGTAAAGTCCACTTTTCTCATCCTGAAACGCATCTCTACTGGTATGTACAGCACAGTACTGTAGTTTGGACGAGCAGATCTGCCTTTTTATATTCAGATTGTACATGTACTGGTATCTTACAGTATGTGTTCAGTTGTATCATTATCATCACATCTTTGGCAAAAAAAAAAAAAAAAAAAAAAAAAACTTTCCCCTCCAGAATGATTAAGTAGAAGCTGCATTTTTTCACGTTTTATATCATCTGTACTCAAGATGTTCCATTGGCCACTTATAATCACAGGAACAGTATCNTAAAAAGGCGACGAGCAGCAAAAACTGTTTCATTCAAGCAATAATAAGATAGCACAAACTTTGTTGAAGTGCAGAAGCATGCTGAATATATTTTTTCGCCATAGTGTGTAGCAATAATTACTAGTAGTATTTTGTCAGTGTTGAAATTATGCATCAGATTTAATTTGGTAATGAGGCTAGTTGGTACAAATGCCACTTTGTATTTATTGTTTGAACGTACATTTACTCATTTTAGAGCAATGTTTTCCTGAGTCATGCTGAGTATATATTTTTTCACTGTGGCCTTATAACTATTAGTGTGTAGCAATATTTCGAAGTAGCATTTTGTTAATCTTCTCAGTGTTGAGATAAAGTTGAAATACAGGTATGCATCAGATTTAATTTGGTAATGAGGCAAGTTGGTACAGATGCCACTTTGTATTTATTGTCTGAACGTACATTTATTCCTTTTTTGAGCAATGTTTTCATGAGACATATTTTTTTCATATTTTTTCACCATGGCCTATTAATCAGTAGCATTTCATTAGTCTTGTGAGTTCTGAGATGAAAGTGCTATTTCAAAATTAAAGATTACATCATGCTAATTTATTATAATTGCCATTTCATTCAAATAACATTTGAGTTGCAATTCATTTGTATTTTTGGAAAACATGATTTAGTTATATTATAGAATATAGCATTTTAATTTAATACATGCAATTTAAAGTACCAATTTATTTAAGATTGTATTCTTTCATTGCGGGTGTGAACTCCATAGTTTTGGAATTTCTTTCATAATTGTTACTGGAGCGTCATTAGAAATACATTGGAACTCAATAAATTTTCTTAAAAGCATGCTCAATATTTGGTGTATGAATGGATGAAAAATGTGCAATATTTGTTGAACAGATGCATGAAAAATCTAAGCTCTAGATGAATTTTTTAACAAGAAGAATATTACAGCTTTTGATGATCTACCTTTATCAGTTTGTATTGATACCAACCAGTATGATTTTTTTTTTACTGAAAGTGATATTGGCTCTATACAAATAGAAAAATAAATTTAGAACTAATCCCCTTAAACTAACTGTGGGTGTTAAAATGAACTTGTTGATACTTATAAAAATATTGTCATTTACCCATGTTTTATGGTAATTTCCCCACAAAAATGAAAGGATACCTGTGCTTTGAATAAAAAAAAAAATTGGCACTCAGTCTTTTAGTGACAAAATTTTGTTTAGAAAAAGAGACGAAATCTTCAAAAGACAATTTTTTTTTTCAGAAAACACCTAATACTTATGACATTTTGTTTTCAACTCTTGCTATTAAACCCAATTTATAAATTTTGTCCGTCATTTAAGAACCAAGGATAAAAGNGACATTTTGTTTTCAACTCTTGCTATTAAACCCAATTTATAAATTTTGTCCGTCATTTAAGAACCAAGGATAAAAGTTAGGCCCGTAGCCAGGGGGGGTTCGGGGGGTCGAAAGGTCCATCTTTTTGAAAAAAGAACCACCCCTCTGAAAATGCTGGCTACGGGCTTGAAAGAGAATAAAATTTTTGTTAATTTATAAAAAGGGGAATGAGAGTTGTTTTATTGCATTTGAAATACCAAGCACAATACCCCGGTAGATTTACAATTTTTTTCAAAGAAACACAACGACTATTTTTTAATTTTTTTAGCTCAGTTTTTCAGGGATATTCTTTCAAAACGTCTTCAAAATGACAAAACCTTTGCTAAATTTATATCATTTGTAATATTAATGAGGAGACATTTAAAATTTCATCCACTTACGTATATGAAGTTCTAGATATAAAACCCTTCAATCTTCTTAGTTTGCCAATATGTCTGCAGTATTGTCTGCAATTTGTATGTTGTCTGCTAGAATCACTAAGATAGGTGGCGCTTCACAAGACAGGACACTTGATCCGGCTACGGAAATCCAAGATGGCGGACGAAGTTTCGTATTTGAATATTTGTGTATTTAAACCACTGCAAAGTGACTGGATTTCTTATTTAAGGGCATTTCAAGCACTTTTGGTATCATATTAGACATATATGACCCTCAATATCTTATCATTACTTCAATTAACCTCTCTTTCCGCGTCTTTCCTTGTCTTTCCGCCTTTAAGTATAACCGCTCCAGTTTCTGGTTGCCGCGGCCATTAATCTCGCGCTGTGAAAATCGGCGAGATTAGTCAGGTAATAAAAGCACATGTGCGAACAAAGAAAATAATGGCGTCGGCTGGAGAGTTAAATCAGGCGGTGGAAACGCGCTACTTATATGATTAAGACGAGCCTAGCCGTCAGTACCGGATATTGTTTTGTGACCTTGAGGAGCAATTAGGTTTGGTCTTTGCGGCACGCATGAACAGTAGTCGAACTACCACACCTGGGTCTTTTGTTTTTGACAACTGTTCACTCGTCATCGAGGCGCTTGTTCAAGACTACAGGCTGATATCTACTAGTACTACCAGTGGCTTCATTAGTAACGTTCCCACAATACTTAGTTTGATGTCTGTGCGTACATACCCTGAAAAAGTCAGCCTCGCTGACGAGAACAATGGNTGACACGACTTGTGTCAACGCAAATTTGTGAAGGAGAAACAAGGGTTGATGCGTGTTTTATGTCAATGACAGTTGACATAACTAAGTGTAGATGAGGTAGACAATCAAAACAGTGTTTGCCAAGAATGTAAGCATCGTTTTGTTAGCATCATTTTTTCACTCCCTCATAACCTTGCATTTATGTTGGTAGGTCACAGAGAAGGAAGTGTCAGAACTTGAAAACAGAACTAGAGGCCAAAGTTAAAGTCGAGTGTGGCATGAAGAAAGATCATGGAGAATAACAGCATCGAGGTAGGTGTGCAAACGAAAATAAGTTTGCTAGTTTTTTACTTGTTCAAAAGTCTTGTATCAATATCATGTCATAGCTTGAGCTACTATATGTACCTGTAGTTGCATTTTAGTACAGAAATACAAGTTGTGAGATGATATATCATGGTTTGAAGGTCAAAATTTAATGCTATGAATGTACAATTTCATTTTGCATTTGAAATACAAATTGAAAAGAAGAGTAAAAAAAACCTATCTCACTAATTTAATTTCATCATTTTTTAGGTTTGGTGATATTTTGAACGCAACCAAAAGACGAGACAAGGACAAATTATGCCAGTCACTCCTGTTTACCCATGAAGTCAATACTCCATATTTCTTATAATTTACAGACATATAGTCGTCAACAATGTCACATTCTGGCCAAATGTTCATTTCACTGAGCTGGAAAAACATAAAGTTGATCCATGTGCTTATTATTTCTGACACCATTGTTACCGATAGCTTGAAACGGAGAGCTAAATAATAATTGTCAAAGGCTTGTCTCCATTTAATAATGGTATAAAAACATTGGTCCTCTGGTGACAAACATTTGAAATTCAAGTGGTGAGCTGCTGGCCCAAGGCAATTGAAAAACAACATGAAGTGTCCAAAATGACTAAATCCAGTTAGATACTGGGCAGCCTTTGCATTTTTCTGGTACAGCATGATGCTTTCTCTTGTGTCTGATGGTGTAGTGATATCACACTGGGAAGCTGTACTTTCTTTTTGGCTCTCACCAGGGCAGTCTTCATGTTTGTCTTCCACTGCTTCATCTGCTTGAGACTCAACCTATAGGATACAACAAAAAATAAATACAGAAGTTGATAACTTACACAAAGAAAAATACTTCATGTATTAATTAACACATAGAATCGGTGTAGATGACAGAAATGACGCAGATCTGACTGCCTCTTTAGTGCGTCTCTAGTATTTCTAGTATTTACACAGATAATTATACAAATAAAAAGAAACATTTTATTTATAAATTTGTTATTATACCATGCGTTATATTTACCTCCACTTCATGAATATAATCAGGAGCTGTTGGTACTGTCACCGGATCTGATACTTTGCGGCGTCTAGACGGCTAGTACGTGATGATGGTACGTCTTTCACTTTATTAAATGGAAATATGGATGGAAGGCCCTATCGTTCCTGGCTTCAGTCTTTTTCTCTCATCTGCAAAAGGAGTGCACATAACGATTATTAATACAATAAAAATCAAGTTGTCTTAATTTGAAAACATGGCCTTTAAAAAACCTCATGGATTATCACATAAAAACGAAGAAATAATTGTAGTGGCTGGTCGGGGTTGACCCGGGCTCGGTAGCTTAGTCGGTAGAGTGTTTTCTCCCCCCAAATCGCTACATAATGTTAGGTGAAGAATGTCTTTAAAATTAACATTTTAAGCACGTTAAACGACATAATTACTTAAACATCGATAACAAAGACCTAATGAATAAGCTGACAAACTCATTATTAATACTAAAAGCGACAACAGCAAGTATAGCTTACGTAGAAGTGTAATCTTCCTCACGAAAGTGGAGGAAACAGACATTGTCATGTGTCTTTGGTTTCCATAGTGTTTTTGATGTAGAATAAACCCCCTTGATGGCAACTCTCCACTGGTAACTCAGCTTTGTGTCTTTCGGAAAAGAATAACCTCCTGTTGACGATGTTCATTCCGGAACACAACAGTATCCTGGCATTATTTAGAGCGCTATTTACAGCGTCAGATTAAAAATGAAACTGCAAACACGCGAGAAAGTACGCGCATGCGCAAAAGTACCCCAACTAAAGCACGCGCGCCACCCAGTGGTGAAAAAAACTGATAGCCCCATTGTGAGGTTGAATGTAATCACTCAGCTAGGCACCTGGAGTAAGACTTATAGGCCTTGCTGAACATGCAGTATGTAGCATAGGACGCATTTGGAATAAAGGACTATCCGAGGGTCAAATATGGCCGACCAACTTGAATACTTCCCCACGGGATATCTGTTCAATGCCTATTAGCGGATTACTAGATGGCATGCTTTGTAGTGGGATGCCATATTTGACCCTCTGACTAGTTAGTCCCCTATTTTGAATGAGGCCATAGACAGAGGTGTGCGCTGCTCTAACTCAACACCTACGCATGAAATCATCCCTACTGACTAATACAAATATATATATACTAGTATGTCTTGCCAGGAACACTTTGCCGTTGATTACGCGAAATTCCACAGGGTACGAAACAAAAAAAATTTATAACAGACTGTTAGTGTACCCAGGCTGTGGTCAGAGAGTAACTGATATTATGGTTCATAAAAGAAGAATTTTTAGAGGTGATCTGGAAATATACATCCTATGTGTGCCTCAGTACTAGAACATATATCCAGACTCATTAACCTGGGATTTCACTGGCAGAGCTTCAGTGAGGTTCCTTAGAGCAGTCCAACAAGTTACTAGTAACCCAGTTAGAGGTCTTAAAGGGTCTGTAGAGAGAATATATATAATGGCCCATTCCACTGTGTTTCCTCCTCTCTGAAAAATCTTTTTCCCCTCAAGAAAACTTGTTTGTACTTTCATAAACCATGAAAAAAAAAAAAAAAAAAAAGAAAAATGAATGGTGCACCACTTTCTAACCCTGTAAAAGTTTTAATTATTAAATTCATTGGTAGGAGAATTTTCAGAAAGTCTTACAGACAGAAAAATGCCACAGAGAAGTAAAATACTATGTGGCAGTCCTTTTGAGAGAAATACTGGTGAAAATTAAGTGTTTAAACTTCATTAGTCATTACCGTATTTTATCCATCCACCTGTTTCCCCACATACTCATCAATGATGCAGCGGTTCATTTATCACCTCGTTACTCCCATAATTAGCCACTTAATTGATCTGGACACAATTGTCCAGGCGGAGTTGGATGGACTGGTACCCTCTTGGTGGACAAAACAGGGGTTAGGTTTCCCTATCTCATATTGACCTGAGGCATTAAAGATATCATTATGGCTTCATATATAATTCATTGGATACTAGTGCCACTTCATGAATCAGGAACAAGCGTGTAGAGCAAACAGTGTGTGTAGAACTTCATCAGTGCGATGTGCTTGGTTAGCGGGATAGTTTGTGATGTTTATGTCCAGAATAATGAAAAGCAAATACTCATCTCCACAAAACCTGGGCGTTTAGCATTAGACGCTTCTACAGGCAAAGGTCAGTGAAATATATTTTTTTTTGTGAAACGAGTGCTGATTTCTTTGATTTGTGTTTTATTGTACATGTAGGAACATTTAATATGTGTATTTCTGAGAATATTAGGAAGTTCCACAGCAGGACTATCTGCAGGTAATACTTGTGAATTGTTAAAATGTCAGAGGTAGATGATTTGTTCAGGTGATGAGGCATTAAATCTAGTACATCCAGAGATGATTTTTATATTTTATTACATCAGTTTAACATTATGGCTGCACCATTTTTGTCTTGATTTTTTGTTTTGATTAATAAAACAAACATTTCACCTATCGATTAAAAAAATATCAGTTAAAAAATATTAATTTTCTCTAAAGCAGGAGGAAGCAAAATATGGCCAGCTTTTGGCACAAATTTAATATATCTAACACAAGCAAAGTGTCTGTTTATATTGGTATATATAGATATGAAGCAGGTGAATGTAAAGAAGCCAAGATGAATTTGTTGATTACACACAGTGTTTAGGTCCTGTGGTGAGGGTCCAAACCACTCAGCAAGGCTTTTTAACTTAGAGGGATACTTTAAACTGGATTGATACACTTTTAGAGATTGCCATCTCAACATCCTGGCTATTTTTATATAACAGGGTCTTCTTACAGAGATAGGTCAGTTCGTCATAGGCAGAAAAACACATCTAGCTTATTTCTCTGTATTGGACTTGGCATGGAATGAATAGCAACTGAAAATTGCGTGTAACTGGATAGATATATAAAACTGTCACCCTGTGACTGAATATTTTAATGCCACTGTTAAAACTTTTTTTTTTGTTTTTTGAGGGGCACATGACTGCTACAGCAGTTTTGATGATGGACTTTGAAATATACACGTTGCCTTTATATACTAACATGTCTGAAATTGCATTGTGCAGTTGCTTTAGGCTTCAACATTTTGATAGTAAATGTGAGTAAACAAAACCTTCTAGACAGCTTTGACGTATTCTATTATTTGACCTCTGACCTGACATATATAAGTAGAACTTTGCATGCACTGACACATTAGCAAGTGATGAGGAGTTAATAGGTGAGCTTGGTGTGTTGAACAGCAGACTGATGACAACAGTAACTGTTTGGGTTTGTATAAAAGAATGTTAGTAAGTCAGGTCTGTTTTCCATGTATGTTATACCTGTATGGTTTTTTAGTCAAATGGAATAAATTTGTATGCATTAATACCTTATTAGTGTTTATGCTGTGCAGGTTCATTTTATATGAATGAGATTCCGTTAATGTCTGAGCTATTTGTTTAACCATTAATATTAATCTTGATTTGTTTGTTCATCCATTTAGATTTTGACACAAAGACCAGAAATATGAAAGAAAAAAACTACATGATTGTAGTGAATTGATTATTATTTCAATTTTTAGAGTAGGTTTTAAACAATGTTTTGGATTATAAGGACAGACCTAGAAAAACTGCTATACAATAAGAGTAATAATAGTAATAATAACTTCTTATTCTATGATATCTTACAGATTGAACCAGAACTTGCTCAAACATGATGGAATACAGCAACCCGAGTTTTACAGACGGAGACCAGGGAGAGGAAGAAATGTACAAACCCATTCAAAATGGCGGTGCTAGAAAATACCCCTATCCGTACATGCGGGATCACGATAACAGTGTCCACCGAGAAGCGGACGGGGTGGCGATATCTGACCTTCCGGGTGACCTTGGGGCCAGTGACCTTCAGCTCGCGGATACATGGAGTATTAAAACAGACTCTTCCTCCTCCGAGTTATCGAAGGAAGAAAAAATATGTCACGCTATTGTTGGTGTTATAATTGCTGCTGGAGTTTTGGCAGGGGTTGTTTGTGTTGTTATGTATTTTGCTGTTTGGAGAGACACCTCACAAGGAACAAAGGTGAGAAAAGGAAATATTAAATACTGTAGTGATTTTTTCCCTTTTTTAAAATTAATTTTATTTGTTTAAGATCACATTATAAAATTTTTGATTCAATGAATTAAATTTATTTGATAAATTTTCAATTGCATTGATGCTTGATTAATGATTATTCATTGTTGTTGTTGTTGTTGTTGTTGTTGTTGATATTGTTGTTGTTTATTGTGTGAGAGGAGATCCTGTAATTTGTTGAAGGGACATCCATTATCATGTCACCTCCCCATCATGCTTTTTTTCTTTTTTTTAACACTTCCTCTGTACATATATCCCATCAAAGAGGAAAAAAACAATAGCATCACAATCTGGATAATACAATTAATATATATTTTTTCTTAAATAATGCTGCACAATTTTATTCCATTGTAAATTGTGGGTTGCGTTGGCTGAACTAGCATGTGACTGTTGCAGCCATCAGCTGGTATATTGTTTAAGTTGTAGTAAGTTTAAGTTATGCTGACATCTTAATCTAGGTATTTTGCTCATTGTTAATTTGAATTTTTTTCCTTGCTCTATCTTATGATCATGGTCTGTGCCCTGAATATCCCGCGGCGTAATAACTGGCAGCGCGAGCCAGTTACTTAAAGTAACTTATAGTAACTGGCTCGCGCTGCCAGTAATTACGCTGCGGGATATTCAGGGCACAGACCGTGATCATAAGACATACCGCGAATAGAAAATAGAATTTAGAAAATAGACATTGCATGTGAATGAAGTCTTACTCTGGAAATTATTTGTGATGGGGTTGCCTGTTAACTTATAGGTTTTGTTCAATATGTTTTGGTTTGAATTCTTTTTAGTGGAGCATGGATTACTGAAATAGTGTTATTGTTTCTCATAGCAGATCCATTTTTAAGCACGACAAAGAATATCAATATGCGCAAAAAAATATATCAAAGAAAAATTGTGCTTGATTCCAGTAGGCATAGAAATGAACCACCATTTGCTACACAAAATGAATGGCCTGGATATTTTGATGTCAGTTATCTTTTCATCTCCGTCATGTGTATCTCTAACTCTTCATTCTCTGGATCATACGGTCATTAAACACAAATCTTTGTCGCAAACACAATTACTGCCACTAAATTCTGTGAACGTCTCACGTAAAGTGACTTCATTGTTCACGGATTAAATAAAACAACGGCTTAATGTAACTTGGCGCTCAGTTTCCTGTTATTCTAATGGGATTAGATTACTGCCTCTTGGTTGCTGCAATGAAGCCTTTGATAGAGTATGTGCATCCTTTTTTAATGTCGTATTGATCGATTTATTCTTATGGGATTACAAACCGCGTTAGTTTGTTTCAAAGATATGCAGTTAAAGTGTTGGTAGTATATTCCTGGTTGCTCTTTTTATGAAAGTTAGTGTGTTGTTTTTATTATTATTTTATTTTATTTATATATTAATTTTTTTAGGCATTGTTTCCTGAAATTCCTTTTTACCTCATTGTAAGAAAAAAGACTATTAGGCTAGACAATAGTGATATGTGGGTAAACATTTAATGGCGACTCTTTGTAAATGTGGTCAATATACACAAATAACACAATTTATTTATTTTTAAATATGTTTAACAGATTTATTAGCTAAATTTTAAGGATTGGTTCTTTTTTTAGAGGTAGTTGTCAAATCCTCAGAGCAAGCAAAGAAGGGAATGAAATAAGCTTTGATTTTAGTTAGGGGGGCAATGGATTTTTTTTTTTGGGCAGGGTGTTAGAGAAGTACATATGCCAGTATGCTACTTTTAGCACTGTCTCTCTCTTTCCATCCCTACCCCTTTTACCACCAACTGCTTCATCTTCACATCAACAATTAACCTGTCAGATGTCTGGAAATTTTAGAGGGATTTTTGGCATTTTCAGTCCTCCCCCCTCTCTCTCTCTCTCTCTCTCTCTCTCTCTCTCTCTCTCTCTCTCTCTCTCTCTGCTTCTCTGTCTCTATCTCTCTCCCTGCCATCTTTCCTCTATCTCTTTATCTTTCTCTCTCTTTCCATCTGTTTCTCCCCCCTCTCTCCATTTCTCTCTTTTCCCCTCCCTTCTTCTCTCCTCCTTTTCTCTCCCCCTCCAACCCCCCTTCTCTCTCTCTCCCAACCCCATTCTACCCTCCTGCCTCTTCTACACAATCACACGTATTGCAATCGACATGTGAATTAAACCCAATCAATACTGGAGATCTCAAAGAGCACCTTGCCTGACTCCTACAGGCTCACAGGGGCAGGCTAAGGTGATTAGAAATCTTGGCTACTTGACAGGTGCACTTTTCCCTTTTTCTTAGACATCGACTGTTGGCAGAGGGAGATGTTTACTGTAAGGAGATCAATAATGGGGCTATTATATGTCCTTTATGATAGGACATTGATTCTTGTTTGGAAGAGCTTTATTAGGCAGTATATATGTGATTTACATTCATAGGCGCTCCTATCTACTGTCTTGTGCTCAACATTGATGAGTACTCGTAGAATTATTTTATTGGCGATGAGTACTTTCAGTCTTTGTAGTTTGAATGAAGATATATAAATGTATTTTGGATGTCTTCTGAGGTCTGCATTAGGAGGATGGACTATTTGCAATTGTCAAATAAAGTGAAGAAGCACCAAAGTGGAATGAATGTGTGATCATATGGCTTTTGAGCGTTACTTAGTCAAAATTGATTCCGTATTTATCATGTAAATTGGAAGTTAGACCTAGAAATTTCTCAGTGTAACAGCAATGCTAACAGGTCCCAAGGTTTTTCAGGAGTTTTAGGCTTTGTTCACATGGAAAGTCTATTTTCTAAATATCTATTTTCTATTCGCGGTATATCTTGTGATCACGGTCTGTGCCCTGAATGTCCCGCGGCGTAATTACTGGCAGCACGAGCCAGTTACTATAAGTTAGAAAATAGATTTTTAGAAGATAGACTTTCCATGTGAACGAAGCCTAACTCCCTAAACAACCAGAGGCAGTTTTTTTTTCTTTGGGGGTGGGGATAGGAGGGATTACACCCACTGTGTTTGATCTCTCTACCTCAGCATTGTCATAACATTAAGTCTGTGATCAAAAACTTTATTGTAAATATTGTTGACAGATTATAGAGATAAGTAACACTGGTAATGCTGACGTCATAGCTCATTGTCACAGTGCATGAGTTGGATGCATTAAAAAGCAGCTTCAGCGCGATCAATATCATAAGTAGCGCACATTGAAACATGAAGGATTGTTGTGTACGTAATAACTTCATTTCTGGAAGTGAGGAAGGCGTGAAAAGTATCATTTGTCACGTTCTGAATGAAAGCTATATCAACATCAAACACAGGACAATTTTTCAAACAATCCCAGATGATAGATGAAAATAGTGTGTTGATAATTTCAAGATGTACATGGCAGTTGTGTTTGCATAAAACTGTGAGAGATTTGTGTTAGGTGTTGGCTGGATTAAGATCTGCTGTGGATATGATAACTGTGTGGTGATAGGATAACTGTTGTTGGCATTTCTGGTTCATCAAATAAACGCCAAATATTTATTTTCAGGTTTATTTCCNTGAATTTTTTATTACTCAGAGTCATGCCATCAAAAGGAACAAATAAAACTGATATTGACATGTATTTTTCAATTTAACTGCTTGATTTATCAAATTGAATATAATTTTGTTTTTTATTTATTTTAGGAAAAATATTTTTTTGGAAGTAAGTATAGTTTTGATGTTTCTTTCACAGAAGTTGATAATAAATTTGGTAGTTGGGACACTTGTATTAATGGCAGATACAAATCAGATACTCCCAACACCAAGTGTTGTCATCTCATTCTCAGACAAAAAAGTTTAAAGAATTTTATGATCTTATGTACAGAATTTAATTTTATTTAAGATGTTTCCCCTTCATTTTATTGATAATGGTCATTTAAACCCTGTGATGGGAGTTGTAGCATTGAGTTCAATACTGGCATCATGCATAAAAGTACTAGTACACTGGTAAATTAAAGTAGACAATAAAGAGAGCAATTTTTGCAAATGGTTCTATTGGTATTCTAAAATAAAGACTGGGAACTTAGAATTTCAACATTTGAGCTTATTTGATGACAGTAATTATTGATTGAATGCATTTCAGATCAAACTGTGATTTGCAACGAAAATTACACGGCGCCAGACCAGTCAAATGGTAAGTCGGGAATAAACCCCCAGGAAATGATGGGACTAGGGCATGGCCTTGTCATTATGCTCATTTGTTTTCTCCATGAAAAAATGTCAATATAATTGGTAGTAGAAGGAAATGGAGGTTGCCTGAGGTCTTTGCTGTAGAAAATAAGTTGAGGCTTAAGCCTGGGGTTAGATGAGGCATTATGTGTAATCCTTTGATTTTTGAGGACTCAAAGATATTTTATTGATGTAGGGTTGACATACAGTAGATGACTATTACACTGACTGATATACTGCATGAACTCTGCATTTTAAACAACTTTTTGTTATAATATGCTATGCTATGCTAATTTTACTATCATGTTATGTCATTTTATGTTACTTTGTGTTATGATTTAGTACTATGTATGTTATCCTATGCAATGCTGACTGTGGTAGTTCAGCAATTTTTGGGGCTTAGCCAAAACACTACTTATTCATCACTTTCTTCTCCAAATGGTTTCAACTTGACTAAAACAAGTGAAATGAACCCAGTTTTTAAAGCAAATTTAATAAGTTTTAGAGCTCATTCAGAACAGCGGACTAACAGATCCGCAGATAAAAATATGGCTGACTCACTTGAGTGCTTGTTGAGAAATCCCCGTAGGGAATAAATTCAGTGTCTAATCGAGAATTAAGAGACAAGCTTTTTAGTGGGTCACCATATTTGATCTGCCAATCTGTTAGTCTGCTCTTCTGAATACACTCTTAGCATTTTGCCGAATTAGTGAGTGTTAGCACTACAACAGCTACGTCATGTCTCATCACATCCCGTCACGTAACGTCATGTCACGTCCCGTCATGTGCCATTCCAGTACATAGTATCATATGTTTCAGGGACCACATCCTGGCTATTCCAGTGTCCGTCCAATCAGTGCCAGACACCAGAGGGCGGTGCTATCTACGGCTCCTGCTGCGTGAAAGGTCACTGTAGATGCTACGGGGAAGGGTACAATTCCTACACATGTTTACGTAAGCAGCTGCTGTCAAATAGCTTCTAAAAGTTGATTTGATATCTCTAATCGCAGTTTCATTTTAATCTGGTTATAGCCAGTTTAAAAAATCAGATTCTCCAAGAAGCAGTTTTTGTGATTACGCTCAAGATGCTTTCAGCCAATTCAAGAGTTGAGGTCAATCCCCAAGTCTTATTGAAGCATGACTGAGACATTTGTCCAAATCTTAGCAGTTTTGTTAATTTTTAGATCTTTTAAATACAGGTAGAAAAGCAATCAGACTACTCAAACCTCTGCTAGACTTTACATGGATATATTGAGGTAGTTGAGAGAATATTTACTGCATATAACGACTCAAAGATTTATAAATAAATGATGATCATTATCATTATAATCATTACTATTATGATTATTATTCATAAAAGCGAGTGCAGTAATGAAAGTGAATTAATGAACTATTTCAGCTGAGATCCCAGGCTGTCATGTCTTGCCTCACCAGTCTAGAGTAGCAGCGCCCCCTACAACAACCTTCAAAACCAGCCAGTCTGTATACAGCTGTCTGAACCTCCAGCCGAGCAGTCCACGTGAGGTGCACATCCTCGCGGCGTACACAAGCAATAGTCTACTGCACCAGATGCAGAACAGTGTTGAAATGAGGGGAATTACGGTGAACATCACCAGAGAGGGGAATTCTAGCAAGCAGGTGGTGCTGGCGCTGAGCTCATTTGAGGCTGTGCAATGGACTGTTGATGTTCCTGCAGGAGTCAATGTGTCTGAAATTTTATTGGTAAGATATTTAAAGTGGAGGCATTCATAGGCCAGGACTCAATTTAACACACACACACATACACACACACTCAAAAAATGAATAAATAAATGAATAAATAAATAAATAAATAAATAAATAAATAAATAAATAAATAAGTTAGTTGATTAGGATTTTCATGAGGGTGCTGTAACTTTGTTCCGGATAGGGTAAAATATGCACATGTGACCATGTTACATTGGTAATTAAGTTCTTAGCCAGGCAACATGGCCTAAGTTTTTTTTTTGTGAAACAGGGGCCAGGTCTCTTGATAAATTTTGAGGGTCAGCTTACCTGCCACTTTTGTATGGACTAGAGGCAGTCACCCTCGCTGCAGTATCTTCAAGCTAACAGGGAATTTATAGTTAAAGGTCCATATGTTTTATTGTAATGTTTTAGAAATTTATAAATTTTATTGGTTCACTTTTTATATACCTTTTCTTTTTGAAAATCGATCAAAGATGTTGAAAGTGAATTTATTTTCCAGTTCTCTCCTAACATATACTCAACTGTGGTACCAGCTCGTCATGGCTCAGCAGACAGCCCCAAGCTCCCTCTAGTGGCTATATTTCGCCAGCCATATGGATATGGTATAGACAGTGAGGGATACGGGTCCACGCCAGCATTGTTAGAGTCTGTAGAGGAAGAGACGCAGACAAAGATCACGTCCTTCACAGGGAGCTCAGTGGTGGATAGATTTGAGCTGACAGTGGGGCTCATGTGAGATGGCCTCTGTTAGATGACTTATGTTAGATGACTTTTGTTAGATGACTTGTGTAAGTCTGGCAAATGAAATAGTATGACAGTGGCATTTTCTTAATTTTTTAATGAACCCCTACTTATGATATAAGGTGGTAGGTTAGTTTGCAGTCTGTCACAAATACTGGAGTTAAAACTAATACACAATAAGTCGATCTTATTTTTGACCATGTTAAGGTTGCATAAATCAAGAGCTTGAAAACGAGATATTAATTCCATATGTTTATTTATTTATTTATTTATTTATTTATTTATTTATTTCGTAGTTAAGTGATAACTTCTATCAGGTGCTTCAAAAAGACCAGTTTCATGTATTTATTTACTTATTTATTTTCCAGTACCATTACATATCTCTACTATTTTCTTTTATCATTTATTTTATCATTAGATTATTCTGTGTTATCATATCAAATGAACTGTTTTAGCAGAAAGAAAAGCAGTAGTTAGTTCACTGACCTCAGTTTACATATTATCTGTTTATGATATTCTATTGTATGACTTGAGATTATAGTAAAGTTTAAGGTTATAGTTTATGGCTTAAGTG